ATGTTCTTAATTACAGAGATATAATTAAGCTGTTACAAATATGTGCGCCAGTGGGTCTTAAAACATTTGAATTGTAGTCTTCTCAGTGGTTGATCTCTGTGTTGGGATGAGTTGATACCTAATAGGAATAAATAGGAAAAGCACTACACTTTTTTTTTTTTTTTAATCCAAATATGTTTTTTAAAATCAAGGCAAAAATTGGTGCTTTGTTATACTTGTTCCAACCACCTCCCCTTGTAGTTTTCGGTAGCGAACAGGAGTATTTGTGCACAAATACCTTGAAACAGCAAAATCCTGAGTTCGTACACTGTTTCAATTCGGGGGCGGGGAGCAAGTGGGAAGAAACTGCTGTATTCCACAAAATACTCAACTCCTATGCTGAAGCACTGAGGGATCTCTCTGCTTTTCATTTCAGCATGAATCCCAAGTATCAGTTACCATAAAAGATGTGAGTGGCTGCCACGAAATGGCACAAAGTTGGAAATGGAAGGGGAATTGGAAGCCCTGGGGTTTTTATTCTTGGTTGGACTATAAACCTGTTGCATGACCTTGAGCAGATCACATTAACCCTGACTTTCCAAAGCATTTGCGCTCCTGAACTTGATCTGTAGGCTGGCCAGTTGCAATTTCCTGTAAGGTGAGAATGGTGCCTTAATAGGGCGCAGACAGTTTGTTAATACAAAGTGCTGCGAAATTCTCCAGTGAAAAGCATTACATGCAGTGGAAAGTATTATAAGAAATTAATAATATTATAAATTAGTAATAATAATATAGTTAGGTTTACCCTATGTTGTTGTACTTCACCCTGAAGCAAAATAAATCATAAGCCACATATAAGTTTTTATACAATAGAGCGCAGCAGTTAAGGCTCTTTAGAACATTTCTGCAATATTAAAATGATTTTTCAGCCAGCATATTAGCTTCTTAGTCTAGTCTAAGGTTTTAAAAAGTAAAACAAACAGAAGTGCAGGTATTATTTACTTAATTAGTCCTCTCTGCAGCATGAATTTCTTTCTGAACTTCATTTCTACTTAATAAGTATCATATCTGCTGATTTTACTTATGTTACTAAGCAACACCCAACACTACCAAATAATAGGAAAAACCCCCATGTAATAAGGCACTATAATTCTGATCATGTATCATGGGGTTAATTTCTTAGCAATACGCTGAGATTCAAAGAGTGTGCAGTGCAGCAATGTAAAATATATTGTTTTCATTATAAAAAGCAGTGCATATCTAAAAAATGTGCATTTAATTGCATAAAGGCAGAAAAGCAACACAAAAATTATTCAAATAACATTTCAATTATATTTGATAAATCATCTCTCAAACCTTTACATTTATGTAGCAATTATAACCTAACCACAGGATCTAACATCTTAGAGCTTCATCAAAATCAATCAAATATCTTAGGCTGAAGCTGGAATGTTGTTCTGATGGAATTGCTCCCAAAGGCAATTTTGATCTATTTAGGCACCAGTTTTACAGCACATTCTGAATTCGATTATTTCTGGTAGTATTTCCTGGGTAAGGTTTTCTGCTAGCAAAGACTCTAAGAAATTTCCACTATATAAAACAACTAATTAATTGCAAACTGGTAAAACTAACATAATTGTTTTCAAAAATGCTACTAATACTTTGGTCCATAGAAAATGCAGAGTGTCCTCTGTTACTTGTTTCATAGAGAGCTGCTGTTTTCAGACGGTAAATTAAAGTGACTCTCACTCACATCACATGTGAACCTGAGAGCACTTTGGAAGACCAAGCTTACCTTAGTTCAAAGTATGAATTTCTCATTCAGCTTCCAGGCTTCTTTGAGCAACGTTATTTGCACCTAGTTCTTAGGCACATGAAACCAGATAACTATCAGTTAATTAGGGATAAAACAATATTAGTGTGTTGGGGTTTTTTAAATAAAATAAAAAAGGGAATCTGAGCATTTTTTCATCTATCGCCAGACCTAGGAAGAACACACCTCTGTCTGCACTGCAGAGTGCTCAGGCTCAAATACTTCTGTATTTTTTTTTACACTGGTTTTAGTGTATTTTTTGTTTAGGCTATTAACCTAGTTAGTCTCAAGAATACTTCTCAAAAACTCTGAAAATAATTTTCTTCCTGGTTAAATAAAGTTGCCCAAAATATCTGTCAAGAATCAATTCATAAAACTGTTTCAAGATGAGATAGTTCTGGAATTTAGATTAGATTAGATTAGATAATTAACTATATGTCTCCACCTTGGTATTTCCAAGGAATTTCTGCCTTGGCAGACATTCAGGCTGGTCTTGCCTCAGTTTCAAAGTGCTTGTAATCTATGGATACTGTTGTTACGCGTTATAATGTATAAAGGGCTGTGTGTATCAGCACAAAAAAGGTAAATTGAAAAAAATTGTAAGGTGTTTACAGAAGCAGTTCCTCAATCTTCTTGAAAGAATTTTTAATTTAAAAATGAAGATGAACAGCATGTAAATTAACACTGGGGTTTCAGAACAGGTTAAAAGAAAGATTAACTGCTCCCTGCTCCTTCACCCCCCCTCCCAAATCCCAACCTACTGGCATCATAGGTCTGGAAAGCAGGTGCCCTGCCATGTATCCCTACTTCAGAGACGAGAGGAAGTGTTTTCAAAACCATCTTATGCGTAGATCTATCCTTACTCGGAATGGACTGGTTAGGAACTTTGTGAATCACCAAAAATTTGGCTTGAAATTTTTAAAGCAGAGTCACTGCCTACAAACATGTTTAACATTTCAAGGCCAGTATTTCAGGAGTCACGTGCAGTGTGATGCCTCAGATTGCATGGTCAGTGTTATATTGCCATTATAGCAGAAGGCATTTTGATTCCTCAGCAGCACTAAACAACATGTTTACCATTTCCCAAACTTGCCACCCAAAAGAGTAGTCATTCTGAAAAACATAACTGCAAATGGTTTTGGTACAAACATATCTGTTCTTCCATCCTGTAATTGCCATAGAAATGCTTGCATTCCCTGCTCTTGAGAACTTTAAACAGAATTTCCATGTGAAGTTCTTAGTAAAAAAACTTGTGACCTTTAAAATGAAACTTCCTTTCAGGTTCATAAAGAAGAACAGTATTTTCTCCAGTCTCTGATTACAAAGCCAATTTGTACCTGGACTTTTCCACTATTTAATAAGTGTACGCTCACACACTTGACCTGGTTGAAGTTGTGCTCTTTTGGAAGAAGCAGTTGCCCTTTAGGTCTTGCTTGGACATAACAAGGAATGCTCTCCGCAGATTTACTCACTAAAGGTCATAGTTTATTTTTAAATGGCAATTTTAGGGTTAATACTAATCTGTGAGTTTAGAGCTCATTCAGGCTAACAAGAGTCCTTCCCTAGATATCCAAGTCCAGTAGGTTTTAATAATATTTAGAAAATAGATTTGATGAATCTGCTACGTTGCCTAGACTGTTATTATCAAAAATGTTCTTATGTTAAATGTTTTAAGTCCGTAAAGTAAGCCTCAAAGTAAACAATTTTTGAATAGAAATACTGAGTGCTCCTCAGAGCCATGACAAATGGGAATTGGCTGTGTTTTCTAAGGTCATTTCTAAGAGGCGAAGTACTGTGACCAATGTATTCAGAAAGAGACTAACTGACAGTGGAACTGAAGAAGGAGCTAAAGTCACAGTATTTCTGAGACTACTTTAAAATATGAGCCATAATTCAAATAGATTCCAAAACCAGTTATTTTTTTAAAAATGACTGCTGCTTCACTGTATGAAATAGCTTGTTTCCACACTCTACATTGAAAACAAAACAAGTTATGGATATAGATCTATCCTACAAATCTTAGAATGTTATAATTGCTCAGAAATGGGATGAAGTCCAAGAATCCTCTCGATGAGGATTTGTCCTGTAAGATTTTCAGACATAGAAACAGGCAATCCAGGCACAGTGATTCCAGCGCAGGTGTTGCTTCGATCTGAATTTATCACTGCTATTGTGATGGCAGATCTGTTAGCGATCTGTTTCAAATAATATATACGAGAGTTACCCAAGAGGTTTCAAATGTTAGCAACAGAGTTACAGTAACATTTTCTTTCACTTACATATGGATGTGCACAAACCTGCAAGCCTAAAGCTTTTTTTCAATTTTTTTAAGAGATTTAACATTTACCACTTCTTAAAATGATCGTACGCTACATGGGTTAAGAAAAAGAAGGTATCCAGCTTCAACCAGACTTGCTTCCCTGCAAAAGTTTTTAGGTGCCCAGAAAGCGTCTAGCTATCTCTTATACAGAGCTTTGGAGGAACTGCACAATATTATCTGAATATTTGATTTTGCCAAGGTTTTCCCAATGCTTAAGTGACTGTGCTTCACAACACCTGGACAGTTGCAAAGAATCCACCACCTCATTTATTTTTTCCATGCTGATCCAGCTTAGACACTTCACTCTTGCTTTGCCACACTACTTCTGCTCTAAAGGGCTCAATTTCCAAAATTTTGGTTATATCTATGCTTTGTTTTCTGTGTCTAAGGAAACAGAACTTTTTTCATATGATCCATAGCTCACTGGAAACCCAATGGATGCAGCACCATCCAATGCTATTATTTAGATTAAGATATACTGTTCTAGCAGGGAATTTGGAGAAAGCCAATTCTAACAATTCTAAAGCTGCTTAAAGGAAATAAAAGCTGTTGAAGGCTTAGTATCCATCATTGGTCACCTATGGTTAAGGAAAAAAAAAACACATGCTTTTTTTTTGTTGTTCTTCTAAAATAAAGTCAGTGAAAACAATTAACTTCGGTATAATTTTTCTGTTGTGATGGCAGAGTAGATTGGTGAATTGAAATGTGAGTCGAATTTCCAACTGGTGATGGGCTTAGAAATACTGATTTGTCTTATTTTATTTTGTAGATGCTTCAGAAACTTGCTGTGTGTTTACCACGGGTTCTGCCAACCAGCTCAAGAGGGGACTTACCTGTTCTTTCATTAGTCGAGCATAACATTATCTTGAACTAATTCTTCCTCTCCACATGGCCTTCCTACTAGTGTCAGCTTATCTTCTGCTGACTCCTGCTCAGGGTGCTCCTGTTGAGAATGGGGCACTTTTGGAAACACTGAAGTCACAAGTAGGCTTATTCAGCAATAAAAGTGAACACTATTCGGCACAAGTGAGACCTCCTGGCACCAGCCGACAAATACCTCAGACAATCATCATAGGAGTTCGTAAAGGAGGGACAAGGGCTTTGCTGGAAATGTTGGATATTCATCCTAATATTGTGGTAGCAGCTACAGAAGTCCACTTCTTTGACTGGGATGAAAATTATGTGAAAGGAATAGACTGGTATAGAAGTCTGATGCCTTTTTCTTATGGAAATCAAATTACGATTGAGAAAACACCAGGCTATTTTACATCACCACAGGCTCCAGAAAGAATTCATGACATGAATAGCTCCATTAAACTGCTGCTCATTCTAAGAGATCCCACTGAGCGAGTTATATCTGACTATACCCAAGTATATTACAACAGAGTAGAAAGCCACAAGCCCGTTCAGCTTTTTGAAGATATTGTTATTAAGAATGGAGTACTTAATACCAAATACAAAGCTATTCAGAGAAGTCTGTATGACGTTCATATGGAAAAGTGGCTTAAGCATTTCAGTTTGGATCAGATTCACATAGTGGATGGCAATACTTTAATCAAGGACCCTCTTCCTGAATTACAAAAAGTTGAAAGATTTCTAAATCTTCCTTCCCGAATTATGTCTTCTAATTTTTATTTTAACCAAACCAAGGGATTCTACTGCATTAGAAGTGATGGAAGGGAGAGATGTTTACATGAATCCAAAGGGCGCCCCCATCCTCTTGTTAACACCACTGTTTTAGAGCAACTGTATTCTTACTTCAGAGAGCACAATGCAAAATTTTACAGAATGGTTAATCATTCCTTTGACTGGCATTAATGCATTTGGAATCTGTTTCATAAAAAGGGCCTGAAACAAACTCTTTCAAATATGTCTTTCTAAACTGTAGAGATTCGTATTATGAGAACTTAACATACTGGTTCTATGCTTCATTGGAATAACACAGCTGTTAACTCTTTGAAATGGTACCCTTTATGTTGGGAAAAATAAGTCTCATGTATTTGTAGATTACTGTGAGTCATATTCTGATCTTCTTTCTCTCATCATGCAAATACATTCACTTCAGTGGACTTACTTCAGATATGTATCCGTTACAAGATTTGTGCTGTTTTGGAAAAATGACTGCTTCTAACAATGTAAAATATGTAAATATTTGAAATGGTATTATTCTAATTGTTCTGTATTTTTTGTTGTTAGTATTTTTTATATCACGCACAATGATAGTGGCGTTGATTTCTAGAATTTTTCATACAATAAGCTAAATTGTATGTTAAAACAGGAGCATATCTAGTGGCTCCAATAAATAATTCATCCTCTGTTAATATGCCAAAGTTCTTGATCAATTAATAATAAAATGAATCTATTTCACCTATGATTTTTGAATAGGTGAACTAGAAGCTCCCTGTCTGTATATCATTAGTATTAAACCACACCCTTACTATCTTGGGTTTGCAAAAAAAAAAATCTCCAGACAAAGAATATGAACTGTTTGAAGAAGTTTTAAGTGAGAGTTCTGAATGTAATGAAATTAAATGACCCCAGGCAACCACAATTTACATGGTTACTCTATACACTAAAAAAAAAAAAGCAAAAAAATTAATATCAGCAACTGTACAAATATTTGATTATATAAATTACGTCACTTTGCTCTTGAATGGAAAAGCTCTTCATTAGTACTACCATATTAATCATGTTTGTATTCTGTGACTAGTTATTCTATTGCTCTCCTGGCTTTAGTTTACATCTCTCCATTGGCACACTGATTCTTGTTAAAAAAAAAAAAAAAAATGTACTTGCTTGCCCTCCAAAGCATGGAGTGTTTTGTCATTTCTAATACAGATCATGGGATGTACTCAAAGTTAAAATGACATCTTGTTATACTGTGTATCTCAGACACAGTGTTCAATATGCTAATTATGACATACTCAGATTATATATAAAACCCACACCCACCTATACCCCTGCATTAGGAATTTTATTTTTTAGTATTTTTTTTGTTTGAGAGTATCGTGCTGGTCCATTCTCCTTTTCCATGTAAACATTTTATTATATACCAATACCAAAGAAGAAAATCAACTTGAAATGTTAAATGTGGTGCCAGATAGAACTACAGATGCAGATGTGCTTGTTTGCAATGGTACCTTGCAACACAGAAACTCTGGTGCACCCCCTAGTAGAAGCATCCATTAGGTGCATTCCTCTTTAAGCTTCTCAGAACACTGGTGAGCTGCAGTTGTGTGGGCCGGCTCTGAGCATCACAGCATCGAACCCGGCCTAACCCTGTTGAGAATCCTAAATCTCTGAACCTTCTGTCCAAGCCACTGCGCAGCCTCCAGGAGTATATATTCCTAATGTGCGATTCAGTCTTCCGCTTCACAGCCTAAAAGGTAGGTTTTGCGGCACTCATTTTTAGCCTTCTAATACTTTATGAGGGGGCTACTTAGATGGTAGGCAGGTAACAGGATTCCACTGGAGCCAGACAGAGTCAGACCTGGCCAGATTATGTGGAAGTAGCCTTCATCAAACATTCTGTCAAAAATTTAAAATGTTAATATAATAAATCTTACTCTTTATCTCTTCTGCTACTGGTATGTGCATATATGAGAGAAAATTATGTCTATTTGTCATTAGCATATAATTAACTTCTGAAATTATCTTTCGAAGTATGATTATTTACTACATCTCTGATTTCTACAGATGGCCAAAATTGTTACTTACCTCTTCCACCTTTTCTGAGGTCATGGCTTCTTAATCATTAACATTGATCAGATCTGTGCGCTACTCAGAAGTACAATGTTGATCAGAACCAGGTGTGGAAAGAACAGGATGTTTATGCTGGTCTTATACCATCTCTGCAAGGACACTGGATAGGTAACCTGTAATCATTACAGCTGTGTAGTCTAACAATACCTTCTTTGTCATTTGTCTAGTAAAAAGTTAACCCAGAAAAATTCTGAACTCTGAATCAGCAGGGTGATTTTATATTGGACCAACACTTTGTATTTTGTGGCCACAACAGTTTATCTGATAACAGAAGCCCCAAATCCAGATTCCCTGTTACTGTTTAACACAGCCTGTTCTTTCTGACCAATGCAATCTCAGTGATGAACGGAACTGACTCCCTTCCACTAATTTCAGAAATACAGCGTTGAAGGTAGCAGCATACCAGCAGTTTATATCATAGATTGTAGTTTCTTTTTCAGCATTGCTTTCTGTTTCTTACACATTCCAAAACTTTCCATATTCTTCTTGTTTTGCTTCTTTTCAATGACTATTCCATTTTATAGTAATGAATATAAGGTTGTTTGGTTTTGGGGAGTTTTTTGGGGTTTTTTTTTTTGGCAAGAAGCTAATTTGAAAACAATGTATACTTTAACAAAGGTTTCAGGTAGTTGCCAGTAATTGAAGAGTTCACATGTCTATATGTCACATTCAATTTCATAGGCTTCCAAAAAAAATTAAAAAATGCTAATGTCTTTCTACATTTATGCTTGCAGGCATCAAGTCTTTCTCTTTCTTCTCTGAAGTTTACAGCTAATCTTTAAATGAGTTGAATGCAGGAACACCAGTTGGCAGAAGCCATGTGCATCTTTGAAAATGCAGGTCCCTTTCTGGAATTTACATTTCAAGGAGAGCTGAACTGTATGGATTAGTGATGCATATATC